TGCGTTTCTGTTTATTTGGACGTTGTTGATTAAGTTGTTTGATCAAATTCAGGGACATGTTAAATAACATTGACAAAGAAATAAAGTGTGTCTCACTCAAAAACGCGAAATTAAAGTGAGTCAAAATGCAAAATTTTCGCAAAATCGCGAAATTAAGGTGTCGCGAAAAATGCGAACCTCAAAATCGCGAAATTAACGTGTCGCGAAAATTTCATGTAATAAGGTAACTTTTAATTAAAATTCTTGTCACGTATTGTCTAATACTGTGATACGTAGGTTAAGGTAAAACAATCTCTCTGTCTGCACTTTGCTTCTTTGGTATTGTTTATATACCAAAACCATATGAATTTATCTTTTATTTCTGGCACATGTTGCAGGAACATGCTACACTTCTCTAGGAATCGAGTATGGCATGATAAGTAACTTGCAGATCAAGGCATCAAGTGAAACACAGGCCAACAAGAAAGACTGGAGTCGATTGAACAGTTTAGGCTGGTGTGTGGGTGGAAGTGAAACCTATGTTTACCTTCAAATTGATTTACTTACTGCCACACTAGTGACTGGTGTGGCTACACAGGGCAAATATGAGTCCAGGCTTGATCACAATGCTGAGGCTGTGACTTCCTTTTACCTGAGGCATAATCTTCATGGGGACAAATGGCTGACATATCATACAGTATGTAGTAGAATACTACTAATATACTAATTGCTTATGCAAATGCTGTAATCTGATTGGGCTGAGCCATTGCACACTGTCAGCCATTAGTGTGCAGTGGCTTGGTAAGCATGGTCAACAAAATCTTACACATTAAGAGCTGTATATTGAGCCATAGTTTAGGGGTATACCTCAACTATACAAGGAGTGAGATGTTGTTTAACGTTTTTTGTTTTTCGTTTTGAATGCTTTTCAATTCAAACTGAGGCTTCCTCTATGGCTGTTAGTATGATTTATAGTATCCCACAAATAATATCTTTCAAGTGGTAAACTATGTGTGGTCCTTGGGTCTTTAGTTACCATTTTACAAAATGTGTGGTTTTGCCCATGGGAGTGAAAGGGTTAATGAGCAAGTGGAAAAAGGAGCCGCTGACAATCACATTTTGAATTTCTTTGGTCAGGGAAATATTATTTTTATCAATGAACAGCCAGGGAAAAGTCAGGGGATTTTGAAAAGAGATATCTGGGGCAGCCATGTTCAGGACAGTACTGACAGCTTTATAACTTCGCTTGCTAGTGTCCTCAAGTGAGATGTGATTTAGCTTTGAGCTGCTTACCAAATTCAGTTTCATCTTTACATGTATATTTGGCCCTAAATTATGTTGTGCTAATTCCTATTTTTAAGGATCATGATCAAATTTTCATTCTGTATATATATTACATACAACAGGACTATAAACTGTCCAATTTGGAAATACATTAATTGAATGACAAATTCCAATGACTGACAAAATTAAACACAGTCGTAGACCAAGTCCAATTTGGCAGTCAGAGAAAATGTTTGAATTCAATCCATTCTAAATGGACTAGGATGTAGTCATATTAGCTGTTAGTTATATTGTGTACAGAACTGTTCAAATTACTTGTTAACTTGGACACTATCCAAATTATGTCGACAGTTTTTAGAATAAACAAATCATTGTGTGCATGCCCTATAGATTTTGAGCAACAATTTGATTATGACAATTTGATTATGGCGTTCATGGGCCTTAATGGCATTTACAGACTGGTTTGTGTTTTTTTTCCTTAGCTCCTGAAAGGTGAATATATTGGTAATAAAGCTGTACAGCACTGGTTAGACCCTCCTTTTGTGGCACAGCATGTACAATTTAATCCACAGTCATCCTTCACATCTGGGCGAGTGTGTATGAGAGTTGATATTTATGGATGTTACACTCCAGGTATTGACTGCATCAATACATCTTTAGGCTTGCTTTGTGCCATTTTGAGAGCTCCTACAGCAAATGTCTAAATTTATTTAAGGTAATTCCCCTGAAATAAAACTGCACATAGATTTTTGTTCAAACTTTGTCCAATGAATATTTATCATGTGAGAACTTTGATGATAAAATAAAGAAGGGGGGTGCCCATGCTCGTTAAGGAGCAGTGAGGCATTGAAAATGTCCCATTTTCACGTTATTTAATGCTTATTACAAGAACGCATTCCAAGTTATTGTAAACTCTTTGTGAGCCCAGACTCATGAAAACCCGTCTCAAACTACAGTCAATACTTGTGTCGGACACAAAGAAACTTTTTAAGTTTGATTTTGGCAGACAGCTGGATCCTTGTTAAAATATTGGAATCAAATTACTTGCCACGGCTATCAAACTGCAAAGTAGAAAGACTACAGTGCAGCTAATATTTTCCTTACTTATTCAATTTTTAAACATAGAAATCAGATCAGTCTTTTCTCACGCAAAGCTAATGATTAGTTGATTAAAATGACAGGAAAAACATTTGGGGTGCCCGAGCTCGTTAGTGAGCTATAGCCATTTTTCAACTGACAGAACTCAATATCAAGGCAAATCCGGCATGTTTTGAATGTGCGTGTGCACGAACACGCGCTAATGACGCCATAAATTATGCGCAGTAAGGATGTGCAATGCAATAAAAGGGAATGACCTTAAATTAAAGGTTTCCAATTCAAAGCAACTGAAAATCAAGCTTGCCTGTTCATCCCATCAAAGAGTAAATAAGGTAAAATTCAATTAAAAATAGACGAGAAACCAGGGTAAAACATAGTTAAACAATTAAAATGTTCTCTGGTTGAAAATTTTGGTTAAAATGAGCTTTCGGCTTCCAACCTTCAGCCTTTAATTCTGCTAGGTATCATCATTTTGTTTAATATTTAGGATGCTTTCATGCCTGGAGAGGGAGGGTGGTTGGCAAAATGACCATGTAAGTCTGAAAATATTAGCTAATCCTGGCAAAAAATTAAGAAAAATAATAATTATAACCCATTTTCCTGTGACATAAATTTATAATAACCCATCCCATTATGACAAAGAATTGTTTAACGAAATAGACAGATTGCCAATACAATGTAAATGTGATATTTGCAAGTACATAGTTGCCTTTTAAAAAACAGCCAGAAATACAAATTGAGATTGAGATAGATATGTCTCAGAAACTGCTAATAATTCTCTTGAAAACAAACTGTAAAGCAAATTAGCCCAGCTAGGGAAAATTTTGTGATTTTCAAACACACCGCTATTTTTTTATGATATATAGTAAAAGGTGAATGTACACCACGGAAAAGTTACAAGAACCTAGTCTAACCATACCAGATCTCACTCAAAAATTACACTGAATCGACTGCTATACTGTGACTTAATAACACCTGACACTCATTTACTTTGGGTAGGTATTTCCATGTAAGGTAGTAATGGTATATTTCCTAGCCTGATTTACAAATTAAAGCAGTCCGATTGTTTAGAAACTATCGGTTTGGTTAGTAATGACAATTGTGATATGTGTTTTGGAGGTGGCCATAAATAATGGATGTTATAGTTAAGAAATAGAAAACATGTACCGTGTTTCTATCGAGTTATAGAAACACGAGTGGAAGTTTGGGAGAACGAGGAATGCTGTGGGAACACGAGCCGCAGGTGAGTCTTTCCTCAGATTTTTCGAGTTCTCCCAAACTTTGACGAATGTTTCTATGTAACAATTTGATTATGAGCTCGAGATTGCTATGAGGTGATAGTTGATGAGGCTGAAGGCCGAATCAACAATCGCCTCATAGAAATCGAGAGCGAATAATCTAATTGTTTTAGTAGAATTCTAACTGAAATTAACGCAAGTAACGGTTTCCAATTATTTTTCTACACATTATCGTACTTAACGCTTTTACAACATCGCACGTATATATTGAATTGTCTTTGGTAAATTTGCACTTGTGTACGCGTGCGCATCCATTTTTTCAATATTTTCAAGTTTTTATAGTCAAGAAACTGTTAATGTCCTTCTTTTAGTCTTCTCAGACATTTAATTATCCATTTACATCTAAACTTTCATCCAAAACTTTGAAAAAAAAAAAGAGAAAAACGTCGCATTTCGTGGACGGCCGACAGCCACTCCACTCTAATGGCTTATAGTATACGAGTAGCTTAGCCAATCAAATTGCAGCATTTTTATTAGTATACTAGTAGAATTCTACTAAAACTCAATAGAAACATGGAGAACATGTTATCTATTTCATTAGGAAACGCCGCGACGAAAAAAAGGAAAACAACTTGTTAACTTTGATTATCAAAATGTAAATTCACCCCCCCCCCTCCCCCGCTTATTATGTCAACAGCTCGTCTTAGTTCTGTGTTTCTATCGAGTTATAGAAACACGATTTTTAACCAATCAGCGCGCATATTTTCTCAGGATTTTTTTCCTTAATGTACTTAAGAAGCAGTGATCCTGTGATTATATATTGGCATTGGCACTCAAAGCTTGAAGATTTGAGCACATTTTGGTAGATAAAGCAATTTACTCTAACAGTGCGTTGTGCAATCCACAGGTCACATATTCAACACTGAACCTATAAGACACAAAAAAACCTCTTTCTTGTTCAAACAGAATTCTTTCCTGGTTATCCAACTCTTGGGATGGAAAGTTTCAGCATTGGTGACTCACAACTAAGAGCATCCTCCCAACAAGATATTTTTTATGGGCCGGAATGTGCGCGACTGAATCACTATATCAATAATGGAGCCTGGGTTCCCAAGACTTCAGATGCATCACAGTTCCTTGAGATTGACACTGGATGGATTGTAATCCTCACAGGCATTGCTATTCAGGGACATCCTGAATTGCCGTATCGCACAACTGCTTTTCAGATTAGAATTACAGTGAACTTGAATCAGCCATTTCAGTCGTATCCTAAAGGGAAAACTCCTAAGGTATGTGTTCAGGTAGCAATAATTATTGCAGATGCAGAGAAGGGTTAGAGCATTTGATGCGAGACAGGCAGGCCTTTTAACAGGTAGACAAACAGATGGACAGACAGACAGATGTACAAATAGAGGTGCTTTTGATAATGGTTTAACTTAACAGTACCATCTCTTAAATGAGTCTCGTGCACCAGTTGCAGTTGTGTATAAAACATAAAAGACTAAAAAATGAATAACTTTAATCCAATGACTCCTGGAGCTTTTTGCCAAAAAATGCATTGTTTGGACATTTTTGGTCTGGATTTGAGCCAAATTAGCTACAATCTACTCAAAAAGGCATTTGCAACACGATAGCGTGGCTTGCTTTCAACAAACATCGCGTTTTATGACATTTTTGCTTGGGCATGTGCAGAAATCAAAATTTAAAGATTGTGACCTACGTCTTCAGGCTTTTATTATTATTATTATTATTATTATTATTATTAGTATTAGTATTACTATTACTATTATTATTATTATTATTATTATTATTATAAGTCCTTAAAGTCTTGCCGCTTTTAACTTATTATTATTATTGTTATTGTTATTATTATTATTATTATTATTATTATTATTTCGCCTTTCCTTTTTCTTCTTTTCTCATCTTTTTGCTGCAGTGATTCAGACCCTCTACTGGGCTTGCTTCCAATTCATAAAGTCCCGAGAAAGCATCATCGAGACAGGCAATTCTTCCCACGGAGTAGCCAAGTGTAGTCGAGGGAAATTTTGTTCTGAGTTTTTCACTTAAATTTTTGAGCATCTTCGAGCCTATTTCAGGCCCCATTGACCCGATTAGTCTGATCTGGGCATCATTGGAAAGACATTTTTCTCCTGCAGAACTTGAGTATAGACGATGCCAATTTTGGTCAAAGCTGATGACATCAAAAGTGGAACAAAGGGCAACGCTCTTCACTGCTGGTTACGGCCAGCACCAGCGTTAAGGAGTTAATGCCCTAGGAAAGGCAATACAATAAGCCAAATTTCATTTAACTTCATTACTACTAGTTGCAAAATCCTATATTACAAGGTTGAGTTCAGAGACGTCTGTGTAACATGAATGTTTGCAGCATTATGTTGGTAGCCACACCCAACCTCCAAACATGGCGGTCCAGAAAAGTGGTATTTGGCTGCTCTCTACCCTTGGTCTTGCCTGGCTGGTCCTTTTAAGAGTCAAAAAGCATACTAACCTAGTCCAAGGTTATTGACGCTCGAAAGCAACTGATTCTCAAATAAAGTTGCAACTCCAGAGCAGGAGATAAACTATGACAATTTTTCTCACATATTTGGTAATTTTAGGCCTTTTTCTAACTAATTGAAGTGTTGATTTTAAATTCAAATGATGCTATTGTGTTTGTGTTTTTTGCGTTATCATACATGCTAGAGGGTGACTTATCTTGAAATTTGCAGGAATTTTTGGGCAATGGTAATGAAGGATATACCATGTATCACTCCATTTCACCAAGTCCTTACTGCCGCTATGTACAGATACGCCCTGTCAGCTGGGCGGACAAAATAGCACTGAGAGTAGAATTGTATGGGTATGAGGCAGGTAAATAGTTATTGAGGACAGTCTATTGTTCCTAGGTAGTTAATGAAGTGATGAAGTCAGTATACGGTTAAATTCTCTCTGTCATGGGCATGCATCAATTTCCTATACATTACATAATTTACTATATGATTGGGAGGCTGTAATGAGCTCCAGAGAGCTGTGACAATGCAAGATACTGCAAAGTTTCCAACAGCTTTGTGGCCCCCTGATTGGCTGTATTCTTCAGCCTTTTCAGTTGACATACATCAATATCTTCTCCTCCCTTCGGCAACACAGCGAAGCACATCTGATCATCTTAAGTATACCATTTTCAACACAACTCTTCAACTCCCCCAAATGTTTCACGTTCTTTTCTGTTCCCTGGATTTTTTCCTGCAACTGCAGATGTATCTTATGAGTAGATTGATGAGATAAACTAATTGTATTTACAACCGCAAAGGAGCAGAAAACAAATGTAAATAATTGCTTTTGATTTCTTGGTGTCTTCCAGTGAGCATTAGTAGTGATACAAAATTGTGTAATTTAGATTGTCTCAGTAGGATGGGCATAATAAGAGGAGAAATCCTTTCCACGCAGTTGTCATCTTCATCAAGAGCACATCATTATAGTGGACCAGAATTTGGTCGCCTTAACATAGGCCTTGGTTATGGAGCATGGTGCGCAGCCAAACAGGACAAAAATCAATATTTACAGGTAGGAATAATTGGGGGCTTGGGGGCTACCCAAGTTAGAGCAGGCTCTGGTTCTTAAGGTGAGGGATAGTGCTCTTCATTGGGTAATTTTCTCTATCCAAAAGGTAAATGTTAGCTAATGTAAACAAGACATACTAAGCTATGCACTGGATAGTGGTTTATCAGCTAGTGGACAGCCTTATCTGCCGTTTGACCAGATGCAGGGTTTATTTATTTGTTTTTAAATGGAAGTTAAGCTCATTAGAGTACTGTCAGACCCCATTTACAGCGCAACTACTTAAGGTGATTTCTACAGAACATTCGAGCAATAATGGCAAAAATTAAGTTGCCAAAAAACCTCATGGCATGGTAATATTTTGAATACAGTTAAGATGACCTTTTGAGACTTAAGCTCTCAAGCTGACCGCGTGAAGTTATCCATACTTGAATTAAAGCAGACGTTTCGCATTAGTTGAAAACACAACACACGCTTTAAGCATTCTTACAAGGTTTGACATTAACTTTCTCGAGAATGCTTCAGAATTTAATTGCGGGATTGCTTAGAGAAATGAACTAAAGTGAGTTGTTTTAAATAGTATTCCAAAAGTTACCGTGCTATGAGTAGATTTTTAGTAAATAATTTTTGCACTTATTGCTCGAATTTTGAGCAGAATCCATCTTAATATCCCACTTTTTAATTTGCTTATAAGTGCCCAACCTCAGTTAAGGTGATTACTGCTTTCGTTCCTTTTAAAATGAATTAAAAAACTGAGATACTGTCGAAGATTTGGATGTGCCATCAAAATCCACATAATCAACAGAACACTACATGTCCGCTTGGAGTTACAAATTTTATCTTCTCATGTTGATGATATGATCACTCAAAGATAAAATTCCGTATCCCCTAATGGTCATGTTACATCGTCTATTTATATACTGCTTTCTAGTCTCCTGATTATTAGCCCAGCCCCAGCTATAAACCCATTCAAAACCCCTTTCAAAGTTGGCAAGCCCAAGGCTCATAGCTGGAATTATGAAGATGATTTTAATTTTTGTGAAATCTTTGAGGTTGACATGTTAGAGATGATGTTTGTTAGTGGTGTGGCTACTCAGGGGTGCATGATCAATGACAGCTGGGTCCGTTCTTACAAGTTTGTTTACCGTGGTGATGGTAAAGCCTGGACCAAATACACAGAAGCAGACACAGAGCAGGTAAGGATTTCACTTTACTGAAACTTCCTTTGTTTCGGCGCGTGTGTCACATCTGAAAAGAGTAGAAATTTTACGTTCAGTGGCTTAACTTTCTACATGTAAAATGTACTATGAGGCTGAAAAACCTATTTAAAGATGATTTGCAGTCCGTACTACGGCGCACTCTCGAGAGTTTGTTTACGTTTTTGTTTTGTTTCATGTAAGACATCACAAAATGTAAAGTTAACAGGAAGTAAATTCAAAATTTCATGTCAAAAGCCGTTATGGATGCGAAGCTTTATGCTTCGTTCTTTCTCATATCACTTGATGAAACAACTTTGCTGAGACTGTGCAGTACGGACTGGAAATCATCTTTAAAAGTGTCAAATGTTTGCGTCAACTAGACTATTCGGGCTTAGCCCTTCCTCAGTATGATGAAGTTGAAGAAGGGCTAAGAACTATTTGACACTTTTTCAGCGTTATATTACTTTTTATCTTATACTACGATTATCAGTTTTGTAGGGTACGACAAAAGTTTGGTGACCACGTTTTAATGTTGAACTTGTCTTGTTGTCACAGGTAACTGGCTCCGTTTCTAGTGGCAACCTGTCGGCCTTTGACGTCATTAGCAGCAAAGCGCGCGAAATTGCAGGCGACAATATTATTACTATTAGAAATGAGGAAAGTTGCGCATGGCAACACCGTAATTTTAGGTGAAAAACCAGGTCACCAGAGCTCTGTTGCGCCCCACTCAACTGATAATCGTAGTGGTGTCACCCATCATTTGATTGTACTGAAACTGCAGTTCAGTGATTGGTGACTTGAAAAAGACGGAAAAGGCAAGTTTAAGAAAGAGTCTACACTCTACAACCACAAGTCGTGACTCTTTTTACTATATATCGTCCACTGCATACTTCGTAATATAAATCTAGCCTATTATTTGTCAAAGAAAACCTTCATCATAGTGTTGGAACAAGTCACATGTCATCACTAAATTAATGGAGATATGTTTGCAGTTTTCATATCATATTTATTGAAAATTTCAGATGTTAAGTTGTCAGAGGCTTTAGCAAACTTTGGATATCTTCCCCCTAGTGTTGTAATGTTAAGTGATACAGTTAATCAGAGGGGTTTTGTTGTGGAGTATGGGGTTCATGATGACCTATTTTATACTACCTGTCGTTCCAACACCTAAAGGTTAATTTGGCTTTATCAACTGGGTTGATAATGTAAACTGGCCACCGTAAAGAGATTCAGAAGCTGACGTTTCGAGCGTTAGCCTTTCATCGGAGCCAATCGGATTCGCTCCGACGAACGGCTAACGCTCGAAACGTCAGCTTTCGAATCTCTTTACGGTGGCCAATTTACATTATCAACCCAGTTGATAAAACCAATTCTTGTTATACTCTCCACCGACGCAGCACCACAGTTTCTTTAGAAACTTACCACCTAAAGGCTAGCCTTGGTTTTGAACAACTTCATTTCAGTAATCTAATTTGAAATTGTACGTATAACTTGGATGCCCTTTTTGTTTAAACTTGTAATGATAGCCCTTACTCTCTGGAACTATATACGTAATGATATATTAATGATTAAAACAAGTTGTTGCCGTGTAGCACTTTGAATTATTCAAAGTGCTTTTCTACCAAATTATGGCGGACCCAAGCCATAAGCTTCATGAACTGCTGCTGCCACTTAACAAGTCCACTTACTGCACACGAAGCCGGGGATACTACCGATTTGTAGGACTTATAGGTTTAGAAACACTTCTATCATGAAGCATAGTTTTAATTATAAATAGTTCGATATCTTATTATATTGTATTATAATATTGTATGATATCATTATTGTATTAAATTTTTAGGTTTTGTCTTTTATATTTGTAAGTTTAACGACTAGTTAAGTGTGTCACAATTTAGCCGCTTCGGGGGCTGCAATGATTTACTTAATAAAGCTAGCTATCTATCTATCTATCTATCTATCTATCTATCTATCTATCTATCTATCTATCTATCTATCTATCTATCTATTAATTGAATTGCTTTCGTTTTAGTTGACAACAATTGCTTAATGGTATTGTTAGACATGTTTCGGGAAAAACCCCTTCTCTTCAGTCGCAAATAAACCATTTATCGCAAATGAAGCATTTAACGCTTCATGTGCGACTGATGAAGGGGTTTTCCCAAAACGTCTCTAAAAATTACCATCAAGTACTACAGGTATTAAGGCATAAGAGAAAAGTGTTTGTATTATTTCCTTCTCAGGAAATTGCAGCCAACTGGGACAGGAACACAGTAGTGCTACACTTCTTTTCTCCTGTCCTTTTAGCGCAATGTGTACGCTTTTTACCACAAAGCTGGGAGAATGCAATTTGCATGAGAATAGAACTGTATGGTTGTTCTATGGGTAAGAACTGGTCTCATACTTCCTAAACTGCCATTTGATTAAGAGTAAGAGATGTCTATTCTTGGTAGAGGAGCAAAATCCGATAAGGCTACAGACAAGCCATGTTGAAGTGCATGGCTTGGTGAGACCAATACCTGATTCGTCGCCAGTGCATTAAATGTGCAAGATAAGATAACTGAGAACAACAGTTTTAACATGGAAGGATTTTTTTCAACTTTAGATCAATTTCCTTGTGCAGAGGGTGGTGGCTGTAGCCCTCAGGCTGTGTGCATGGCTCTTGACAAGGAGAACGAAGTTTGTGTATGCATTGAGGGATATCATGGAAATGGCAAACTTTGCAAAGGTGAAGAAATTATTTTAACAGATTAGTGTTTTCAGAACAAGTTCGTGCGAGCATTGGCGAGTAAAACGATACTAGTTGCTATACTTGCATGCTATCTGAATGCTAGATGCTTCAAATGGTTACAGTAGTAAATGGTAAGGTGTACAAGGGGGATGTAATATATCAAACACGAAAGACCGTGTTTGATCGCATTTCCAAACACCGAGAAGAGAGTTGAAAATAAGACGCATAGTGGAGTATTTTTTACGAAATTCGAGGTGTTTGGAAATGTGGTCAAACACTGTCTTGAGGGTTTGACATATCTTCTCAACCAAAACTTAAACCGAGGAGAAAACGGGGAAATAAAATCGTAAAAATCTATATGTTCATTAAGATCAGATATCCAAACGCTGTCACGGTCATGATTTCCTTTAGTTAACTTGATGAATTATTAATGAGTTCGAGAAAGTTAATATTTTCTCTGGACACCACACCTTAGTGCATTTAGGATCCCACGAAGATGGAGTACATTTGCAAAATTATTACTGACAATATAACACGTGATGATACAACTTCATCTAACTTAAAACAAACCTGTTAAATTCAAACGAATTCTAACGTTATCACATATTTTGTTTGTAACGGTGCTATTTTCTTGTTTAAGTACATGTTATTTGAGCAAACTTTTTTGAGAAGTGCACAATCTTGATCAGGTACTTAGAAGGTAAAGCTTGTACCAAAGGTTGCACTGTGCTTTTTGTCTGGTTTATGGCAGAGGTTTATGGCAGAGGTTTATGGCAGAGTTTTATGTTCACCCTCCTTTTTACAGATTTAGATGAATGTGCAAGTGACAGTGCAAGTCCTTGTCCGGAACACACAGACTGTGTCAACACTGAAGGTTCATTCACATGCAACTGTCGTCCTGGATTTACAAAACAGCATTTTACGTGTGAAGGTAGATACCTGATTAATGAATACAATAATTAATTAGCAAAGAATTTGTTAAACCCTTAGGACATCTTCGTCGACTATACTGGCAAGAGGATTGATGTATGAAAAATAAGGACTGACCCATTATGGCAGAAGTTTTGCAAAATGTTGAAAATGTCTACTTTGTCATACAGCTGTCCTTTGGCCCGTTCTATTAAACAATTAGATTATGAGCTCGAGATTTCTATCGCGTGATAGTTGACGAGTACACAACCCGAATCAACTATCACGTATAGAAATCAAGAGCGAATACTCTAATTGCTTTAGTGTAAATCAACTAGTCATTCAAATCTCTATCTAAATCCTCTTCACAGACACTTCGAAAACGGAAAGAAGCGGCCCCCAGTTTGTCAACTATCGCTCAATTCTACGCCACTCACTATCTACAACAGAATAGATAGTGAGTAGCTTAGCCAATCAGAATGGCATTCGTGATAGTACGCTTAGTAGATTTATACTAAACAGGTTTATACTTAATAGTTCCTCGTCAACCTTACTGAGTCAGACCACCATGTTTGTTAATATAGCTAATCAACATGTATGACAAACTTACTGTTAAGAAATTTTGAAAGTTGTCATGTCGAGCATTTGGCCTAGTTTTCGATCAATCCAAAGAGGTACTACATTTAGGTGTTTGCTAGTATGTAGCTCAACAATTTATTTAATTACGCTATGTTAAAAGTGAGGAAACAGACTTGAAGACACTTGTCTTCATCCCCAATGCAATGTTTGAGATTTCAGTGAAGAAATGCTTTAAGAGGCGTTACTCGCAAAACTTTATATCCACAAGTTCCTGGAAGAATGTGACAGGAAACTGTTCAAGAAAATTAGTAGCGATAGTTCTTACCTGCTGTACTCTATTTTGCTCCAAATCAAAGCGTCCTCCATGTGATGAAGATGTAGTACTAGTCAGTTACCCAAGATAAATGCTGAACGTTTTAAAAGAAGTTTTTAATAGGCTTAGTTTTAAATACAGTTTAGCAATATGAGAAATTCTTACTGTAAACGCCTTATTATTTAATCCTTTAAAAATTTATGCAACGTTTGATATGTATTGTATCGAATGAATAGACATTATTATTATTATTATTGTTGTTATTGTTATTGTTATTGNTCTGTTTGCTTTTATCTCTTTGTCGGTTTGGATTGGCGTGTCCCAAAGTATAGTCGCTGTTTGGTTTTCTGTCACAGTAGCTGGTTCATGGTCGTAGTGTTTATCTTGCACTTTGATGTTATAGTGTTTGCTATTATTATTATTATTATTATTATTATTATTATTGTTATTATTATTATTATTATTATTATTATTATTATTAAATATAGCGCAAACGTACCTGAAAGCAGGCAAATCATTCTGCCAGGAGTTTGAGGTTTTTCAGGTTTTAAATTGTTTTTACATATTGTATAAATTACATTATTGCTATTTAGGATAAAAAACGGACTTAGAGGTGGTTGGGCTAGAAACGTATCTTTCAGATAGTTCAATTAGTTACTTCTGTCTTCTGTAGTTTCAAATGGTTTTCTAGTCATTGCAGTTTTGCTATTTCTTGTCCATTCTTTTCTTTCCACATAAAATGATAAGTTTTCTTCCTCTCCCTTCTCTCTCTTAAACTGTTTTAAGACGGAATCCACCAGAAGTTTTAGTAACAAGTGAACAAAAACTTTGTACCAAGTTTATTTACATCATATTGCAAACTTCTGTGTAACTGTTTAAATATCTTTAAAAAATCATTTCTAGCAGCACGGAACATCAAAAACAAATGTTGCACTTCGTATGAAACACTTGAAAGTACTGGTGAAATGAAACTGTTGATGAAATATTACCTATGTTTGCACAATTTCTGTGAACTTTGAAATTTATTTTCTCTCCTTCCCATGGAAAATTGTTTTCGGTGTTGTTTCAGGCAACTATTTATATCTTTAGCTTTAAAAAGATGTAAAAAGGACTGTGAAATACTCAAAATTATTCTGGTATAATTTTTTAATTGTCCACTAAAAACTGAAATTGCTCGATTTTCTATCTGATTTCGTCCTAATGCGACACTGTATTTTTCTTTTTCAGACGTGAATGAGTGTAAAGATGATATTTGCCCGTCACACATGAAGTGTATCAACACGTTTGGCTCTTACACCTGTGATTGTACCAGTGGAAAAGTATATAATGCTGCAGATAAAACGTGCATCGGTAACTGAAATGCATCTAGAAGAGTCACCTTTACTTGTTATATAGTATATAAAATGGGAGCCCTTTATAGACATCATTAATTAACCATTAGATTACTAGCTACAGAGTTATATGATGTGATAGCTGATTAGGCCGAAGGCCGATCAACTTTCGCCTCACAAAAATCGGGAGCGAATAATCTTTTTGTTTTTGTAGAATTCTAACTAAATTTCTTTCAAATCAGCGATTGTTTGAACAGTTCATTACAAAATTTTGAGGTTTTAAAGACGCATCACAGTCAATTTTCTTTCTTTTGTGTCCCTGGAAATTGAATTATGTTTTAATATTTCTGCATGTTCCTCGGAACAGCGGAGGAACAAGAAAACATTGTCATTATGTTGACAACCTCCAGCCACTGCGCTCTAATTGCTTAGCCAATCAGATTGCAGCATTTACATTAGTATACTAGTAGAATTCTTCCAATTAACAATTATTTCACGAGATGGTAGATAGCCAACGAAGCACGTAGCACCGAGTTGGCTATAATCATCTCATATCCAACAAGTGTGAGTGGAATAATTGTTTTATTAAAAACGCCTCCAAAATAAAGAAAACTAAACTAAACTAAAAATATAAACATCTCAAAAATTACGCCTTATAACACTTGCAGAGCTTGGTGTAACGGCTCATATACAGTCGAACCTCGATTATCCGGAGTTCTTGATTATCCGTACTTTTTCTCTAGTCCCAATTTTGTCATGAATATTTATTAGTCATGATCAAGATGCGTAGCAATATTCTTTTTAGAACTATAGCATTGAAAAGTGCAGTCAAAAGCGAGTTTGTTTTGCTTTTAAAGAGCAAAAGCAGCGCTCGCACGCGTCGCAACTAATGAGCAACACTCGAATGAGTTCTGATTGGCTCAGAGTTGAGTGGTTCAAGATATGCAGTAGACCATATTGTTTTCCAAATGATTTGTAAAAGTGTTGCTTCACGATTAAATGTTGCTATTTAAACAGTTTTGTTCTTCATTAATATTCATATTTTTGATTATCCAGACCCTCGATTATGCGGACTATTTCGTCTAGTCCCAACGAGTCCGGATAATCAAGATTCGACTGTGTCATGTTGGCTAAGCCAGTGAAAGCTTTTGAATTGCATGCATTACCCAGTGATCCAGTTTGTAATAATGTGTGATATGCGATGAACATATGCTTTCTAGACATGAAAACGTAATGTATGGCTGTGATAATGTCCTAAAATGCCCAACATTTGGCAGTTATTCAAATGGTGGATAACGGTTAAATGTCTGTCTGATGGACGAGTGCTAGGCAACTAGCTTTGCAGCAAGCCTGTTCATTACATTCGTCTTTTTGTTGTTTTTGTAGATGTTGATGAGTGTAGTGTGGGCGCATTCACCTGCCACCCTCTTGCTAGTTGCGTTAACACCTTTGGTTCATATTACTGTGCATGTCCTGCAGGATACACAGGTCGCGGTAAAACAGTTTGTGCTGGTATGTAAAAATGCTGCAGTGAATAGTGTTTACCTTTTAGTAGTATAACCTTGGAATATCAGGGCTGTGCTCTGGAAGTGCCCGGGTACCACAAACAGCTAACTTCTACCTTTGGGCGACTTGATAAACTTCTTTTTTTCACATAAGCTTTAGTGCTAGGAACCCAGGATTTCATGGTTAGAAGCCTTTGGATTCCTCCTAATTTATCTTAGATGGCAGCCTTGAATATGCACTGCAAAAGCAAAGGAAATCTCAGTTTACTTTCACGCAGTTCCTGATATACAACTAAGCCTCTTACTTGAAACGATTTGGCATAAATGTGTTACAAAAAATTTTGATGAATCATGCTTTTAGGGATAGATGTTACGCATTTGAAACTTTATGTTATTATGAAACTTGAATTGTATCGTTAAGGTGGCTGAACGTAGTTTTTGACACCTGTGTTTCGTTCACCTTTTTCTCTAAGACCCTTGATCCTTTGGTCACCAAAAATGGCAGCAGGCAAGTTGATACTTAAGCCGACGTATGTGTCGTTATCATGACAACATGAATAAATATAAACAGGCCTTTAAAATCGGTTTTGTTTATTTGCAGAAAATCTAGTCATTAGATTTTCTTTATAATTTGCATGCAACAAGCTTGTAATGATACTCACAAGTTAACACTATTTTGATAATAATTTTACAGGCCGACCAGCACCGTTGACAAGGTTCTTCATGATTGGCCAAACGAAACAATGAGTATACAACACAAATAATGCCCCTAGCCGTAAAAACAAAAGAGTTGCAGATTAGCAAGAACGAATCAAAATAGAAGTTTTAAAGGGGTGCAGGTCTACCCAATGTAACAGACAGAACTTTAGTTATCCCTTGCGGAAGGTTCACTGGAACATCTAGAATTTCCTTTGTTAAAGGTCAATTTTTTTCAATACTCCAGATATTTATTTCCTAAAGTAATTTCGTGCCAAATTTCGCGAAATTCTAATGAGTGGTTCTCGAGAAATAGGCGTATTTCCGACAAAGCTATTCCGCATTCAATCGCAATGTTTTTGACCTACTACTCATGCGCTGCATTTAACTGGGTTCTTTCGGTAACGAAGGAAAGGTTAAGAATGGGCGATTTGCATGATGGCGTCATTTGACTACAACTACCAGAATCCTTCACTTTTTCTGTTTCTTGTGCTAATTAGGGCAATTGTTATTTAAACCTCGCTGGGAATTCAAAATTTAAATAGGAAAGAAAAAACGAAAGGAATTTTGGTAGTTGTAGTCAAATGACGGCAACGTGCAAATCTGCTATTGCTGGGTTTTTTCGCATCGTTACCTTTTCTAACATACCTTTGTAATAAAAGACTAAAACCATCTATACACTACATTCAATTACGAAGAAAAATAGTACAGATAGTGCAGGCATTAAGCAAATAAAATAATCGCTGTATCGACGGCATGTTTGTTTTTTGCAATCCTTTAGCGCGCGCTGAATCGCATTAGCAAGAAACTGTGTTCGGCCACCTTAAAATATGTTGCAAAGTAAATGACAAAATAGTTTTTAGATAGCTTGCGAGCTCGCTCACGTTGGAGCAGAAGTGCGCGTGGCGTGGTCGCAAGCGCAAAATCGAGCGGCGAAGCCATAAGACGAGACTTTCTTGGCGCCTCTTCACCAGGCTCCTTCCCACCGGATCGCTTTGCTCTTCACCGCTCGCGCGCGTGACTCAAAGGTGAGCCTGCTCGCAGGCTAGGTTTTAGAAGACACTGCAGTTTGTTGCAAATGGTACATTTCAGGAAAACATTAGGATCTGTGTCAGTATATTGGTAACAAGTACCTTAAGTTATAAGTGTTTCGTAATTCTGGTAACCAGTTAAGAATTCTTTTTGAGTACAAACCTTATTTTTCTGCCACTAGCAACATGAGTTAAAACAAATCAAGTAATTTGTTCTTATGAACGTTAGTGACGTTCATAAGTACAAATTACTTCTTTTCCCTCTAAATCGCGTTGAAATTAGGAACTGAACTCGGCCCTCGGGACAGCGTAAACTTCAGATGTTGCAAACCCTCCTCTGTATATACAGGCTTGAAAACAATGTTGTTCTTGTTGCATTTTAATTTTCAACAATGGTTTGCTTTTTTCAGATGTAGATGAGTGTCGCCAAACACCCGATCCTTGTGATCATAATTCTATATGTCATAACACTAAAGGAGGTTATCAATGTTCTTGCAAGACTGGTTACATTAGGGAGGCTAACAAGTGTGTTGGTGAGAAACTTCTCCACTTTATTAGTCAGGAAAAAGGAGGACCTTTTTTGCCATGAAATCCTCTCTCCTAGAATAAAATTTAGTTGTCTTGTAACAGGGTCAATATCATATTATCTTCCCCGAAAAGAGGTCCGTATAACGTTATTATGTCGTAAAACAAAACCCTATTGTTGTCGTGCCCACAGACAACGACCCAGACAGATGGTAGAGTCCTTGAGGACGGCGCCAACTTTTGTTAGTGCACACTCGTTCTGTGCATCATTCAAGACATGGTTTAACCGCCACGCGTGCGCTAGGGTTGGCGCTTGCGCATTGACCATGGATAGTATCCATGCAAGTACACGACTAAAATGAAAGCAAAATTTTCCTACTGTGACCAAATCAAGATTAATGAACGTGTACTAAAACCAGGCTTACCACAATAGCAGCGTATCGCTTACCATAACTGTTAACGGTTTCCAGCTGAATTACTACCTGTTATCTGTTGAAAATTGTACTAAAATCCAACTCTAAACATGTACCTGCAGATGGCGTAGTGCTCGCATAAAACAAGTGCGAGAAAGACAAATGTTCCTCTTACTGGCGTAGTGACGGAAAAATGTAACTGGCACTGTAAAAGATGCATAACTTAAACCGCATGGTTACTCCTAAATTTTGTGTTATGAAATGAAAGTGCTAAGCCTATTCAACACGTGATTAGTTTCTGGTTGTGACGAAAAGCTATTTCGATTGTATTTTAGCTGAACCACAGGAAGGCTGTCAGAGACGCTAAAAGTGTTGTTTTTATGTTACTATTTACCATGTAGTTTTAAGATCTTCATAAATGAGTTTGCTTTTCTGTATGTAAAGGCATGAATAGTAAAGAGACTGGATTGGAAACTAGCTCTCGTCACCGGTTCCAACACAGTGGAAATTCGTGACGTCACTGTCGCAAGCTAAATTTTATTTTTGCAGAACTTTGTTTACACTGCACAGTAAGTGACCAAACCAGGACCAAACTATGGATATTGAAGATTTATTTGAAGAGTGGGATGAAGATGATTTAGCAGAACTTTTAGAAGACAACGAGAGGGCGGTGAACACGGTAGAGGCAGAAGACAGTGAAGACGAAGATGAAAGCGAGAGCGAAGATGATGGCAGTACGTTTAAATGCAGCAAGTGTAAAAAGCGGTATCATCTTAAAGCGTGGTTGCAAAAACACGAAA